CTATTCAGTACTAAAACTACATTCGTCAACTTCTAAAAAACCTTTGGAGAAACAGAAGTGCGGTGTGATGTCCTGAGAAAATTCATCCTTAGGCCTGCTTGATAAATCTAACTGTCTCTTCCTGGAGAGTGTTACAGTGTGTTTTTGTCCTTAATGGTCTGTTCCGTTTCCACCCCCTGCCTCATCAGTTCAGTCCAAATTATACCCTCCTTGCTAGGTGTCTACCTTTCCTAAAACCAACCCCTAATTTTAAACAATCCCAGTTCCTCTTCCCCGCAGTTGTCAATCCCTTCTTCTATCAACCCCCTGCGAGATCTCCCCTTTGGAAATCCCCAAATCCTGGGAGCTCCATTGGTTTATTTGAACTGTTTCCCTCCCCCTGTGTGTCCAATTGGCTAGAAGATTGCAAACCCTGCCTTATGTTCCTCCCCTAAACTTCTCAGATTGGATGAGGAGCTGTACCCTCCCCTGAGACCTCCCTTGTTGAAAATATCCGGAACCGCTATGTTTGGGGGCCTTTCCTCTGGTCGGATAATAAAATTAATAAATCCTTAGGTCACCTAGCAAGACCTGCCTCGTTTGTCATCAGCATTGATCTGCGGTAGCTGGCTGGGACTCCAGGCCTCTGGGGCATTGTCACACCACCTTACGCGTGCAGCGGAGTGTGTGCCGTGACAGGAAATCATATAAACCCAGAGAGTCTGAGACTGCAGCAGAGGCACTGCAGACTCCTCTACCACCTGGGGGCTGTGAGCAGAATCCTGTGCTGCTCCTTCTCACGGTAGGTTGTTTTCTGTGTATATGTTAACTTAGATATTGCCTTAGTTAGATCTATTTTAATCTCATGGAGTAGGACATGCAGAAGGAGTGTTCAGACCCTTTTCTGCTTGCTTTGGGGCAGCTTTGGGCATGCTCTGCAGAGTCCTGTACAAAGTCACCACTTGTAGTTGCAGTTCTCAGTTTCCAGCTCATTGCTCACCATGTTCCTGATCCAGAGCTGAACAAGAGAAAAACTACCAGATATACTGGGTCAGAGCAGGGCTGTGTGCAGCTCAACATCCTGAATCCAGTGGAAATGGAGAGATGAGGGTCAGGGAGAAGAAGAAGACAAGGGCAAATGTGCAAGGTGACTTGTCATGCCTTCAGCAGTGCTGGGCTCAGCCCCTTCCCAGCGCAAGGTGGGCTTTGTGCTTTAGAGGCTGTGGCAGCTTTCTCTGCCAGGAACCCTTTTACCTGCCTGTCCCAGCTGCCTTATTCCAAATGCTGACGATATGAAATCACTGCACTGTCTGGCAATGCAGATGGCAGCATTCCTGCTCTCCCAATCCTGTGCTGTCTCTGAAAGGAAACAAAACTGTTATGAAGCACTCCTACCCCAGGTGGGATTGAGTAAATAAAATTTACTTAGATCCTGCTAAAAATTGCAAAGCAAAGAGAAAATCGCTGTGAGCGTAGCCTTTGACTGTACAGGGGAATCAATCAGCAAAGCTGAAGATGGACATCAGCAGGAATCCCAAGCAACCATGAGAAGAGCTGCCCCTCAGTGCTTGCATTGCAGCAGCCACTGTACTGATAAGATAGAGGTGTTATCCCTTGTGCTTGCTGCTACCATCTGCTTGGCCCCTTCATTTGCTCTCTCCATGTGTCTGCAAGTTCAGACTCTGGGGTTGGATGACATGGAAATGCAAGGTGAGCAGCAGGACACCCATGGCCCAGTGTCAGCTGAGAGGCAGGACCCCAGCTGCATCATTTGGGGTTCACTGTTGGGTCTGAGTGGAAGAGCTGAGTGTCTGTGTGACCCCGGATGGGGCCAGAGACTTGTAGGAAGTGCAGCATTGCTGTTCTTTGCCTGCCCCATGCCCCATGAGATTCAAGCCCAGCTCAGCATGGCAGGGGGCTGAGCAGAGCCCGTGCCCAGCTGCGGGTGTCTGCTGTGGGCAGGTGCTGAGAGCAGGAGGGAGGTGGGAAAAGGTGACCTTGTCCCAGGGCCGTGCCTCAGTTGCAAGATCCCTTTTGCTGCGAGAGCTGATTGCCCTCTTGGTGGGTTTGGCTCCTTCCTCCTACAGGATGGGTGCTCCCACTGCTTCCTGCTGTGGGCTCTTAAACCCTGGTTTAGGTTTCACCTTTATTGCCCTCATGATTTTTCCATCTCCCGGAGGACAGAAATTAGACCTTTCTTGGTGTCTCATAATCCCCTCCTCTGGCAGCTCTGTCCCCCTGCACAAAAAGGCTCC